CACCAGCAGCAGCTCAGCTGCTTTACAGATAGGGAGAAGGACAAGGCCCCCTCCCCGAGAAGCTGTGGGGATCATTATCTGGTTAAAAATCATATTGTCCTCAAACGTTCTAAGCTCGAGGAGGAACATATCAGTTCTAGCAACTCCCCATGTCTTTCCAATGCCCCACCCCTGTCAACAGGAGCTGAGTACACCCAAGGCCTTCCACACCCACCGCAGTGGTGTCACCGCCATCTGGAACTGGGCTCCATATGTGGAAATGACCGCAGAGCCATTCCTCACTCTGGAGCATGCTGTCTGTGCCTGTCTCTCTGCCCTCACTGTGCTGTGGGGCTGGCACGGCCATGCTCCCACTCAGGCCCTGAGAGCTGCTGGGAGGGAGGCTTTCAGTGCTGGAAAGTGTGGGGGCTGCGAGCAGGGGGCTCTGGCTTCTATCTTGTTTGGAGCTGGAGCCGGCCCAGAAACAATAAATGATTGTTGAAGATGATTTGATGTGATTTAAGATTAAAAAGCAGGCGCGGAGTTTGCTGGCGCGGCCGTCTCTCCGAGGGGGAGACTTTGCCTAACGCTCCCTTTTGACTTGGGTGAACTCTTGAACAAACTTTCACAAGTCTGGGCTCCCTGTGGGGTAGCGCTGTCTAGTCACTGGCTCCTCTTTCAGCTTTTGGTTGAACCAAAACCAACAACTTCCCCGCGGTGGGGAATGAGGGCAGCTTCAGCCAACGGGGCCTCACCCCACCAGGGCTGAGCTGAAATGTGAGGGGGAGGTGGGTTGTTGCGTGGGGAGGGAAGATGGGCTGCTCTGTACTTACTGAGCGATCTGGGAAGAGCATGACCCCCTAGTAGGTTCAGAGCATCTCCCCCTTTGTCCCGGTCCCAGCTGGGAAACAACATCCTGTCTAAGACAAAACTTCTGGCCATGATCCCTCTATCTCCTTCCAGAGGCACCATAGACCCAGCCCTTACTCCCTTCTGGGCTACTGAGCCCCCAGTCCCACAGCCAAGGAGTCTGCAGCAGGCAGGGAAGGGGGAGAAGCAGGTTGCACATTGGATACTGGGCCTTGCAGCCCTGAAACCCAGTTGAACAGCTGGGCACGTGGTCCCAGATTTGGCAGACGTAGCCCTACATCTGTCTGCTACCCCCAAATGAGAGCAGTACAATGCACAGCCTGCATTGGGCTGCCAGGATGGGCTCAGTTATTCTGGGCCTTCAGCACTGAGAGAAGAGGGACAAAATCCCCTGAGGAACTCAGGGAAAGCGGGACATGGAAAAGGAGCTGAGGTGGTAAGAAGGACTGCATTGGAGCCAGTGGGAGCCTCAAGGCACACAGAAAGGGGGCTAGGGCAGCAGGACCCACAGAAGCGGGAGAGGAATGGCAGGGCAGGCTGACAGAGCACTGGCACATACAGTGAGAGGAGCAACAGGGCAGGATACCTGGAAGCAGGGCAGGAGCAAAGGGACCTGGACCCAGAGTAGGAGAGGCCCGGTGCATGGAAATGGAGTGGAATTGTCATGACACGTCAGTGGAGTTACGAAGGGCACGATCCAAGGAAAGGGAGCAGAATTGATGACACACAAGGCAGGAGCAGTCGGACGCATGGCAATGGAGCAGGAGAGTAGGGAGCGGGCCATGGAGCAGAGGCAGCCAGACCCATGGACACCCAATGGGAACAGCAGCACAGAGAGAGTTTTAAAGGCTACAATGGTTTTAAGTTGCTAAAGAAAAACCCGCCTGAGAAATATCGCCTTCCTTCCAGCACTGACCTCCTCGTGCCTACCCTTGAAAGCCCTGACAGGTGGTGAGACCCAAAACCCAGACAGGTGGTGAGTGACCCCCACTAGCAAATCCCAGGCAGTTCCATTTCAGCCCATGATGGCAGGGCTCAGGCACCTTGGTGACATTCCCTGTAAACCACCATTTAAGGAGCAGAACAAAGCAGGAGATCTCAGCGGGTTAACACTGCAGCCTTCTGCCTCCAAAGACCTGGGTTCAATGCCTTCGTTGAAATGAGCATTGAGCCTGAATTCCTCTTGCATACCAACAAGAGTGCATGCAGGGGTCCCGGGGTAGGTACATTCTTGGAGCCTGCAGAGAGAATCCAGGCACAGCATCCAACTTCCTGTGCTACAGGTGGATGGTTTAAAAGAGCTGGGGGGGCAGGTCCTGCAGTGGTCTCCGTAGATCATTTTCCCTTCCAGTGCCAAATATCCCAGAAAGAACAAATTACATCGTCTGCAAAAAGAGAGTTTCGGTTGTGTAGCTCTAAGCACATGTGCCTCTGCTGGCCCATGTGTTTCACACATGGTTTATTATCAGTGTCAGCCCACAAGGGGAACCAATTATTTATCTTCACAACAGCTCTCTGTTCCGAGAATGCAAGTTGTGAAACCAAGTTTAGATGCCGAAGGAATCAGGGAAAGGGAGTTCAAGCTTTCTGCTTTCCTCCCTAAAGGAGTCCAAGCTGCAGAATGAAGGGGATTCAAATCAGAGGGTGGTTTTGGTTCAGAAGGGGGACAACAGTGAATTTTTGGATCCACAGTGAGAGGGGTTCTGAATCTGATCCAGGAGTAGTGTTCAGATCCAGAAGAAGGAGGGGTTCTGATCTAGGAGAGTTCAGATTCATGTTGTGGGGTGGAGGAGGTCTGTTCTGGGAGGGTTCAGATCCATATTGGAAGGGTTAAAGCCAGGGAATTGTTTGAAACCCAGATCTATTTTCCCCGCTGTCTCCTGCTATTGTGGTGGGAGAGGGCTCACAAGTTCCGACCAGTGCGAAGACTCTTGCTGTGCAAGCCATTTCCTCGAAAGTCCAAAACCAGCCCAGGGTCATCCAAAGCTTCCCTGAGTCCCACCAACTTTTCAGTTGAACCTGGGCCCTGTTTATAATTGAGGGCGGATTGCAGTTTTGCAAAAGTTTCAATTCAAAAGCAGGTGAATCTCTGTGGTTTTGCTTGAGTTATGTTTGGAGTTTTAGGATTGAAACTCAAACCTGAACTCGGGGTTGTGATTCCACGTGAACCAAAACCAAAGCAAATTTTGCACAACGCTGCAGCTCTCCTGATGCCTCAATATCCCCCCTCACACACACAGCCGCTAGCATATGACACAATTCTAGGGGGATACCAACGGGATGCTGGAAACAGGTATGACACAAGGAGTAATGGGATGAAATTAAGAACATAGCAATTTAGGGTGAATATCAGAAAAAATTTCCTAATGCTGTGCAGTACCTCCCAAGGGAAGTGATGGGCGCTGCGTTGCTTGGACCATTGAAAATGGGACTAGAGAATTTAGTGGAAGGAGCAGTCCCTCACTGGCTGTGGAGTGGCAGGGGAGGGAATAGTCTAGATGACCTGATAGTGCTTTTCCCACTCTGATTTCTCATTACATGACCCAGTTGAAACCCCAAACACCTTTTCTCCCAGGCAACCTCAGCGCAGTGGTTTTGCTTGCCTTTGCCTGTGCATTTCTGCTTGGGGGTGATGATGGAGGGGACAGGAACCTGGTGGTATTCCACATTCTTCTGCTGGGCAGGTTACAAGCAAAACAAAACTGGAGAGTGCAAAAGGGGGAATGCTCAAAGCACGACCCACAGTGAACAGGACTCCAGCCCTGGGAAGCAGCCTGTGTCACACCGGGCACTTAAAAGAGAGCTCAAGGTTGACTGAGCAGGGAGATTAATGTCATCTCTCCCCTGTGCAGAAGGTCCTTCCAGGTCAAGGTTGAGTTGCATTAGGAGGGAAAGGGAAACCCCAGCCTGTTTGAAAGTTCATGCACAGACCTCTCTCCTAATTCTAGGAGTCAGTCTCTCTGCCTGTCCCCCTCTGCCTCTCTCTCTCTCTCCCCACACTGCTTAGAAAGATTGAAATACTTTGATGGAGAGATATGATTGAAGCCAGGCCTGGATATAATGTGCATAGCAATAGCATTGTCAGAGTTGTCTCTCCCTCCCCCATCTCTGAGATTGCTGTGGTACAATATATTAGCACAACAGTGTGTGGGAAAGTCCCTACCTTCCCAACCTTTACTATCCCTGGGCCATGACCTATGCAGAAGACAAGCAGGTGGGATTATCCAGAGATCTGCCAAATTGCAACTAAGCAGCTGCCAAGGTTTGCAATTTGCCTGTGCTCACGTTTATGTCTTGTGACACCTCCCTGCGGGTTCCTGTTAGGGAGAGTGGGCCAGATTCTGATCTCAGTTACACTTCAGTGGAGCTTCTCTGGTGTGACTGAACTCGGAAGCTGGTCCTGCGCACTCAGCTTTGTAGGCTTTCAGGGGCATATTTCAAAGCCAGACAGGGGAAGGGAAGAAATCATGTGCAGACGTAATAGGAAGGTCACTCTTTGCGTGACCCTTCCCTGTTGCGCTTGAAAACCGCAACAAGTATACAGTCACAAGGCCAAATTCTCCGCTCAGTCACACCGAGTGACTCCAGTTGAGTTGCAGCCGTGGAAATAAGCCCAGACACTACAGTGATGAGTGATAGAGTAAAACCCTAAGATATGATAGAAATTCAGCCCAGACAGAAAACTTTAAGAACTACCCACAAATTACCTATCTCATCTATATTTATACAGCTCTAGTCATCCTAGCATCTAGGTGCTGAGATGTCAGATACAGTCCCCTCTTATATAAACACACACAAGAGGGGATGAATATTTTGCAGAAGACATGTCTCTTTTAAAAGGGGAATGGCGTGGGGGATGGGAGGGCAGAGAATGAAGAAGCAGACTCCGAGAAGTACCTGGTGGATGCAGAAATCCAGGCCGGCATTTGCTTGTCATTATCCATCCCAGAAGAAAATGAAATGTGCCTTAGGGTCAGAGAGGTAAAGGACTCCAGCAGTCTGTTCATTCATTTGAAATAAGAAGGGGAAGAATGTGGAATGGATTTCTGTGCTGAATGGGAATAGATTTGGGGGTAACAATAGGCAATAGAGGGGGGTACATTGAAAATATCTGCATAAGAGATCATTGTGTGTGTGTGTGTGTCTTACAGAACTTTATAGCAGACCAGTTCCTCTCCTAATGCTAAGAGAAATGGCGGTGATGTCTGAGTTGGATTCTCAAAGCCATGGGCAAGAAGAGGTGAGAACAAGCCCCATTCTCCTACAGCACGTTTGAAGTGGCCTGGAGGTTTCCGCTAGCCCTGAGAGTGCCACTGGGCAGAGCAGGTCTCTTCTGTGCTGTACAGCGTGTTATAGACCCTGAGAAACCTGATGGCACAGTTCTGATACCTTATCAACCTCACTTCTCCCTTCACCTCCATGCCCAATAATATGAATCACTGGCTCTGTTTTCCTTTGTATCTTAGAAAATAAAAGTTTTATAGGAGATGTGATCTCCTAAATGAGCTGCCTTAAAGAGTTTGTGGGAGTTCATGGAAGCTGATTGGGAGAGGCCAAGTTACCCAGGCATAGAGCAATGGACTGGAATGCAGAAGGGTTGTGTTCTATTCCCAGATTGGCCCTTGGCCTGCTGGATGACCTTGGGCAAGTCACTGCCCCTCTGTGCCTCAGTTTCCCAATCTGTAAAATAATGACACTGATCTCCTTTGAAATTTAGGGATCTCAAAAAAAAAAAAAAAAAAGGGAAGAAGAAGGATCGGGGAACTACAGGCCAGTCCGCCCCACCCCAGTCCCTGGAAAAATCTCCTCAAGGAATCAATTCTGAAGCACTTAGAGAAGAGGAAAGTGATCAGGAACAGTCAGCATGGACTCACCTAGGGCAAGTCATGCCTGACTAACCTAATTGACTTCTATGACGAGATAACTGGCTCTGTGGATGAGGGGAAAGCAGTGGATGTGTTATTCCTTGACTTTAGCAAAGCTTTTGATACAGTCTCCCACAGTATTCTTGCCGGCAAGTTAAAGAAGTATGGGCTGGATGAATGGACTATAAGGTGGATAGAAAGATGTCTAGATCATCGGGCTCAACAGGTAGTGATCAATGGCT